CTTTACCACGCCCTGTTCCGCCATAGCACATGACTTGATCCCTTAAGGACATGTGCGCCCCCCACCACACTGAAACAGGTCTTGACTAATACCCTCCTGAAAACCAAGATTAGGTACCTCAGACAAATGCACCGCGTCTTTTCTAAAGAATACAGGCACCATGCCCTCCAACTCTCGTGCCGTACCACGCCGCCGCCCAACCGCCGAATAAAAATTGCCATTGTCTTATTGACCTTGCCCCTGCATCGGGTCACTGCCGCTGGATTCCTGGCATGCCGCCACGTAAAACGAGGCACCATTTCCGACCAGACCACCACCATGCCAGGAACCAGCTCCAGCAGTCGATCCATGTCCCTCTTCATTCTCCTGACAAGCTCTCTTTGTGGGATCAGGCCCAGGTCGTTCCCCCCGCCGTGAACCAATACTACGTCCGGTACGGACCCCCCCGCAAGTTTGCTAAACAACGCGCTACTCAAACTCTGCCAACCAAACCCCCTAAAAACATGATAGCGCCACCCGCTCCCGATGAAAGCCCAGCTGTGTTCCATTCCTTCTAACTGCAGTCTTCTTCTGAGCCCAATAGACATACAAGTGGCAAACTATCCACACCTTCCAACCTGCAAAGAAACAAATGTTAGTGCCATGGTCCCGAACTTTCTTAATATTGTATATACACTTCCACCCACTTCACACCAACTTGTCGGGTCTCACGTATGAACGGAAACGTAAGGATTCCCATCTCCCTATGCATTTGATCCTCTCGTCCCTCAGACCCAACCTCACCACCTCCGTCGCTGCACCAATACGGAACGAGTGTGTCCCGAACTGCCCGGGCTCCAAGCCCAGCTGCTGTATTCCTAAGCGGAAGACCTTTGTGAACTGAAAACGCGACAATGCCACGCCCTCAGTGTGCATGAAAAAACAACCCTTCACCGCCGGGCATTGCGCCAAGTACCCCACCCCACGCTCCACCGGGCACACCTCCGACCCCGGCAACTCAAACAATACCACCGAGCAACCTTTTCAAAAAATGTCTGTCTGGGATCGTCCCAGCCTGATCCACACTCTGTGCGCGCTTATCGCGACGTCCTCGAGCTGTAACCCCTCTACTCCCCCTTTGTTCACACTGACCAACAGCCCTATCCTAAAAGGCCCCAAAAAAGGCCCACACAAACGCCCCCGCGAACAACGCCACCTCGAATGGGGAACGACAAATTTCGGGCAGTGCCCCTAACAACCTTTGTAGTATCTCGAAGGACACTGGTCTCCTTGTATCACCGTCTTCTTCCCTCTCTGGAAACCTCTTACCGCCTGCCAGACCAGGAAATGTTTTGTGCTATCCTCCCACTCATTGAACTTAAATAGGAAAGCCAAGGCGGACAGGTGCCTGTCGACCATGGCCGGCGATTCCTGCTTTGCAAACAAACGGCAGAGTATCCACAATAACACATCCAGCTGCTGACCTTCCAAGAGATCATCACCTATCTGTTCCACCGTCTTGTCCCACACTTTCCAAACCTTCACATACGCGGACCATGTGTTTGGCACCAATGACTTCCTTATGCACTCCCCAAGCAGGCCGTCCCGAGTTGCCACATCTCGACTGGGCACGCCTGCCCCTGTGACTGCGGGTTTGGCGCCGCTTCTGAACACTATGTTGAAGGACATACAAAATAGCACTAACTGCCGCAGCAAGCGCACCACTGGCGGTGAGGATGCCGATAAGCTGTTGATTGCTTCCACCACTGCCATATTGTCAGAGTAAAATATGACCTTATTTGCTAGCTCCAAACCCCATAATGCCACCTCTACCACGACGGGGATGAATTCCAAAAATGTTAAATTTCTAATCAGCGGGTTCACCTTCCACGTCTCCAGGCAACCCCTCAGCACACCAGCGCATGGATGGATTCGCCACCAGACTTTGACGAAACTGTTCGTCATACTTCCACCATGCAAATGCCCCATACGTCCGGTACGCATCCCCTATGCCGTCGAGGTAGCAGAACAGCTGCAAGCAGCAATCTGGGCGCTTTTCACCAATAACGCTAGCCAGTATACAAAAAGCCCTAAGCCAATTCCCGAAAGTCTTTGGTATCTTATGATACCTCCGCCTTTTCTCCTCCTCTTCTTTTTTAGCATTTTTCTTGTCCTCTTCTTTTAAATCCAAAAATTCCTCTAAGGGAAGAAGGGAAAATATTTCCATGAATTCCCCTTTCCAAATTTTTTCTTTAGCCTCAACCTTCAAGTGACAACCCAGAGCACCCGCGAACAACACGTGTACATTTTGACGCGCTGACTCTGAGATGTCACCGCACACCATGGCCTGCTCACCTTCCCCTTCCGGCGACTCCGCCGACTTGGCTGCGCTCCCCGACTCCCCGCCTCTAGCTCCCCTAGCAATCATTTCCACCCTCTTAATTTCCACCCCCCAGCCGCCCTCCGGGGACCAGACCCTACTGAACTTAAGTGACTCCCCTTCCCCTGACCATGAGTCTATGAACGATTTTAAACAGTCTATGAATGTCCCTGAGTGTAGTGCCACTGAGGACTTAACGCTGGTGCCCCCGGCCACTTCTGGCCACGGGGTCACTGTCCCTTCCTCCCCCTTGCCAGGCACTGGAGTGTCCAATAGTCACCAACTCTTGCCCGCCTGGTCTTGCCTTGGCAACGCAGGTGTGTTACTCTGCGACCTGTAAGGAGAAGACAACCTGGGTGGTCTGTTCGATTGGCTCCCTACCCGCCCTTTCTCAATACGCTCCTCTCCGGCCTCCCAAGCTCCGCTCCTCTGTGCCTCCCGACTTTCCCTGCTGTATGCTCTACGCCGCCGTACCCGGAAGCTCCTGTCAGATGAACCGGATGCACTGCGCTGACAGCTCCTGATCCTTTCCCTGGACCTCCTCCTCTCCCCGCAACTGAACCTTGACTCGCTGCACCTTTGTCGTGAAGGGCTTCTGTCCCTGCTCCCTTGTCTCCCTGCTAAGCTACTGTCACTGCTTCGCTTGGCGCTGACACTGGCGCCGCTCTTCCCTGTGTTCCCTCCATGTGCCATCCCTGCTGGTTAGACCCTGGGAGCTGCCTGCCGTGCCCTCCCGCCCTTCTCTGTCACTCCTGTCTTCTCCAGCCCGTGCCGTCCCCTATAAATCCCTGGTGACTGCAGTGCCTGGCTTCCCACTAGCTGCCTTGCCCGAACTTGCGCCGACCTCTGCCATCCGGGAGCTTGCTTGTTCCTGGGCTCCTGATGTTCTCTGAGCATTCTGGCCATCCCTGCTGCACTCCACTCCCCTTCCCCTGTCATTGCACCCATGCCTGCCCCCCCGTGGCCGCCTCCATGGTCTTTCTGCTGTCCAGGCCACCCTGCGCCATCTGGGGGACCGCCTGTGCCATGGAGTCAGCAGTACTTTCTCCCCCTTGCCCCTCAGTGGCTCCCCTAGTGGCTTACTCACCGGGACTTGTCTCACTCTGCCTCCGGTCCACGTGTGCTTCAACCACTCCGGCCGCCTTCCCGGCCACACTGTGAGCCGCTGCCGTTCCCGCTTTCCTGCCTGCCGCCAGTGCGTGGGGTGCCCTCTGTACTTGCGGTCTCTGTTTTGCGACCGTCTTCACCCGACCGGCACTCCTGCCCCACGGCACCTGCCACACTCCTGCCTCTTCCGCCCTCATGCCTTCCGGATCCTGCGGCCGACCTTTCACCCACTGAAGGGCTCCTCCGGCGCCAAGCTACGGGCACCCTACACGGGCTCAGCCGCTGGGGCGGTCTCGTCCTCCACTCTGGTCTCCTCTCCGGTGCCTCTGTAGTGGTTGCAGCTGCGCCTAGCTGTTCATGGAGCCATGCCAGGCCCCTGTACTCCAGCAGGATCTCCTCCAGCGACGCCATGACCTGCAGAAACGAGAAAAATAGAAGAACTTCGCTGACCCGTCACAATTAACAGGTAAGTGAAGCTCTGATTAAAATGGCCACTCTTTAAACTAACTTTACTCCACCCCACCCGTTGTACTAACCTAAGCCCACCCCTAACCCTGTTACACCTGCCCACTCTCAGGCCTTGTCAAGGCCCACTCCCCTGCTCCGCTGCTCCGTGGGCTCCATTACTTACCTTAGCAACTGGTGACTGACACTGTTTGTTGGCTAGTCTGTTCTCTATAACTATTTCCAAGTCTTCACATTTATTGCTTTGCATATTAACCACCATTTAGCATTTGAGTTGATTGTATTATTATTATCATTATTATTATTATTATTCCTGGTATTTATAAAGAGGCAACTGATTCTGCAGTGCTGTACAATTAGTGGAGAACAGACAAATACAAAAGGTAGAGAGGGCCCTGTCCGTAAGCTGGCATCTTGTCATTTAAGCTCTTTTATACAAAGTGCATAGGTAGATAGCCCGTGAGCTTACAATCTAAAGGATACCGTGGGGATTTGAGACAAGAGGTAGCAGGGGAAGTGATGGCTAAATAAGGAAACAGAAGTTGCAGCTATTGGTAGAATATAGAGGGAATGAAGAGGTAAGTGAGTGAGAATTTTAAACAGCTGGAGGAGCATGCTATAAATTTGGTGGGAACCTGGGTGGGTGGGTTGAGCCAAGTAGAATTGTAGAGGCTTGCAGTAGGGATGGTATGGGAAATGGGCCTAGGGAGGGAGTAGAGATACACAGTTATATCAAGGTATTTACAGCTAGGAGTGGCAAACATTGGGGAGGAGTGGGAGAGGACAAGAAACAGTTGTGAATTACAATTTAGAATTTTGCCAATCTAATCCAAACAGACAGATTATTAATTAATTAATGCATGTAGCTACAAGTACAAGATACTACAGTAGTACACATTAGATAACAATGAAAACATTAATATAAATAAGTAATCTAGTGACAAAGGTGAAAGAAATCCGGTGGAGCATCTTCTGAATTTCAATTTGTACCTTAAAGCTGTAGTGTTCAATTGTAGTGGCTTGCATTATGCATTTATGGAAAATGGGCCTTGCATTTACCCCTTAAGGACACATGACATGTGTGACATGTCATGATTCCCTTTTATTCCAGAAGTTTGGTCCTTAAGGGGTTAAAGGGACACTCCAGGCACCCAGACCATTTCTGCCCATTGGAGTGGTCTGGGTGCCAACTCCCACCACCCTTAACCCTGCAAGTGTAATTATTGCAGTTTTCATAAACTGCAATATTTACCTTGCAGGGTTAACTCCTCTAGTCCGTGTTTATAGCACATGAAAAGTGTGCTATAACGTCGCTGGACGTCCTCACGCTATGTGAGGACCTCCAGCGTTGCTGAAATCCCCATAGGAAAGCACTGAAAGCATTTTTTAATGCTTTCCTATGGGGAGGTCTAATGCGCGTGCGCGACATTGCCGCGCATGCGCATTAGGTCTACCCTGCCGGTGGCCAGGTATGCTCAATAGGTCTTCCCTGCCGGATGACATCGGAAGGGGAGGAGCGTGGGCGGACCCTGACCCAGCGCCGAGGGATATCGGCGCTGGATACAGGTAAGTCACTGAAGGGGTTTTAAACCCTTCAGCAACTTGGGATGGGGGGTGGAAGGGAGAGGGGACCTGCGGTGCCAGGAAAACGGTTTGTTTTCCTGGCACTGGAGAGTCCCTTTAAAGCTGTAGCTTTCACTTTTAGAGGCTTGCAGTAAAGATGGGATGGGATTGTAAGTTCCTTATCTCAGGATGCATAAGTTGGCATTTATCCACTTAGAATCTCATCTCTCACTTGACTGCCTAATCCACTAATTTGAGAAATCCTTCTGCAGTGATAAATCAATTTATTAGGAATTCATTGACTTATAAATTTTCATATTGAGTGAAATTCACAAAGTAATGATGCCATTAATACAATTATTTCAAATGGCACTAAAGAGGTTAGGAAAAGTTAGAGAGTATCTATAAATAATGATAGCATCAATGACCTGAGCCAGGACATTATTTTACAGGAACTAATTCCATAGGAAAATAAATGAATAAACAAAACAAAAAATGAAAATGAGCAAAAGTATAAGTGATTGCAGTATTTGTACCTAGCCGGATCTTATATAGCATATCTGTAACGTCACCAATTCATCGAACATAAATCCATTACATGGATAACAACACCCTCTTCACATTTCAAGAAATAATTTGACAGTATGAAACAACACAATTTAGACATTTCTTTGCATTTTCAATTTTCCTGATTAAGGAATGCATTACACCGTAGCCATCAATGGTCCTTCTCAGAACAGAGAATGCAGCATAGATCCTTGTTAACAATCAAACCAGTAAATTAGACATGACAGCGCCTTATAGAATCTTCACAGAGAAGATATTCACTTTTGCTCATAACGTTTCAACACCTTAATGAGAAACGACCAGCATTTCAAACTGAACCTCAATTAGTGCGATTGCTAGGAAACTTGAAAAAAAAAAAATCTATGCAGAAAGAATTCGGATATAGATTTTCAAGAAAAGTCCTACGATCAAGACATCTTTTACATTATTTTACTTTACTTTTCTCATTATTCAACGTTTACATCTGGACAGCGACCATTTAATAGAATGTTCATGCTTGAAAAAAAATAATTGTAATTATATGTAACTTCTATTAATTGTCAATACAGAGAAGAGGTCAGTATCGAATGCTATGACATATCATCTAAATAGTGATTTAGAAAAAACTAAATAACACGCAAAAGCAAGCACTAATTAAGTTGACAGAGAGTAATAAGATTCAGCATTGTGAACTTACAGAATGAAGGACCCTACCTTGTCTCTATCTATGGGAATGATATGGCTATATACTCCAGTATGGGGGTGTCCTATGTGCCTCGTTATAACCGGAGAAGAAAGACTAATGGTAGGTTGAAATATTTAAATTTATTGAATGAACATAGTAAAAACTTAAATATAAAACCGCATTTGTAGGTACAACAAGCAGTGAAAACAGTTCTCAAGTTTCAGTGGTAGAGTCACAATTAATGTAACTCCGCCTCGCAGCTCCACCTCCTGGGCTATGTGTTTCCCTTGGTCTTCATGACTTAATGCAATCCATAACACCTTCTCCTGTGATGACATATTTATACCCCTATTAATTAATACAATTATATTTATTAAAAAAATCAATGTTTATCATTTCTTCTAGAAAGTATACAAAATAACCATGGAAAACACGCAAATATAAATAATCCTATGTATTAATATAATTATAAAATATGACCATCATAAAAGATAGTGATTGCTAGACGATTGAGTCAGAGCATCTCAAAAATGGCAAGTCTTGTGGGGTGTTCCTGGTATTCAGTGGTTAGTACCTACGAAAAGTGGTGCAAGGAAGGACACCCAGTTATCCAGCATCAGGGTAATGGGCCTGCTTAGCTGAGACTGGTCAAAGTGCCCTTGATGACCCCTGTCCACCGCAAAAGCATCTTCAATGGGGACAGCTTCAGACCTGGACTATGGAGCAATGGAAGAAGGTTGCCTAGACTGATAAATCCCATTTTATTTTAGATCAGGTGGATGACAGTGCTTTACATTTATCTGGGGAAGAGATGGCAGCATGATGCACAATCGGAAGAAGGCAGGCCGGCAGAAGCAATGTTATGCTCTGAGCAATGTTCTGATAGGAAACCTTGGGTCCTGGCATTCATGTGGATGTTACATTGACACGTACCACCTACCTAGAGATTGTTGCATGTCCCCTCCTCAAAATTTTATGTCCTCTCTCTTTCCTTGTCTCTATGTCAACCTTCTCTCCCAAGGTTCCCATGTCCCCACCTTTTCTTCAGTCCCCTTGTCCCCTTTTCTCCAAATGTCCCCTCCTCTCCATAAGGTCCTCCTCGTATAAGGTATTATTTCCCCTCCTCTTTCCAAGTCCCTATGCCAAACTTCTCCTCCCAAGTCCCCATGTTCCCTCCTTTTCTTAGGTCCCCATGTCCCTTCCTCATCCCGTCCTCATGCCTTTGTGCTACTTTGCCCACTGCCTCAACTCTCCAAAGTGGCTACCACAGAGCATTGGGAGGAAGTGACCTGTTAGAACACTCCCTCCCTGTGCTGTCATGTAGTGGGGAAACCTGAGCAACTATTTGTAACTTACCTTTTGCGCACTCTGCTTGGCTCCTTGGTCCTTCCAGACTCCCTGCCTCACTGTTCACAGAGCGGGAGACACAGTGCTCCCTTTCTGCAGTTTGTCCATTTCTCAGATGGCCCATGGAGCGCTGCATCACGCCTCGGCCTCTATGCGCTAGGATGGAGTAGGGGGTGCC